TGAATGAATAAACGAAGAAATATCGATTTTTTATCAAAAAAGTAAAAATTATTCTTAAACTACAACGTAGCGATTATCGCAAAGATGATGATGGTATCACCACACAAACATCATCTTCATCATCGTCGTCATCATCATCATCGACCTCATTATTACATCGCCATCATAACCACCACCATCATCATCATCATCAACAGCGCAATCATCGTCGTCATCATGACCACACACACTACAACCACCACCGTCGTCATCATCATCATCAGTGGCGGTAGCAGCAGAAGAAGCAGCAGCAGCTGCTGCATCGTCGTCATCATTGAGGTACGAATTCCTGCAGGATGTCCCTGGCCATCTCGATGTTGTTCTGGGAGATGTGTAGGGCCCTGATGGCGAACACCTGGTCGAACCCCTCGCTCACTAACTGCTTCACTAATTTCTCCGTCAGGCTGTCACATCTTTGGTGTGTGGGGGGTGGTGGCGGTTGATGACGGTGATGATGATGATAATTGTGACTGTGATGATTACGATGATGATGATGACTGTGGTTGTTGTGATGATGATGATGATCACCATCATCATAATCACGATCATCTCCATCATCGTCATCTTTACGATCATAATCAAGACCACCATCTTCATCATCATTACGATCATCATCATCAGCAGCATCATTATCATCATCATTATCATCATCATCACCTCCATCATCGTCATCATCATCATAACCTGGAGGAATTCTCCTTGTTACTCTCCTGGTTCTCCTTCAGCAACTTTACTCTATTCCTAGCTGGCGGTATGATTCTGTCTCTGTCGTCTTTCATTACCTTACTGTGTGTGTGTGTGTGTACGTGATACACATTCATACATGTATGAATGATTTGAGTGAATAGGTTTGAATGAGTTGGTTCGTTTGTTGGTTTGAATAATTTGACTGACTAATTGATTGATTGATTGATTAATTAATTGATTGATTGATTAATTGACTGATTGATTGATTAATTGATTGATTGACACTGACCTCTTTGATCGGAAGGTGAGAGATGGATTGATGGGAGGAGGAAAGTCGTAGTCGCTTGGTATGTCATAATGGTTGGCTGTTTGAATTGAATTGTGATGAATTGCACATTACGTAACGTATGAAAACTCTAAATGCAGTCAATCAATCAATCAATCAATCAATCAATCAATCAATCAATCAATCAATCAATCAATCAATCAATCAATCAATCAATCAATCAATCAATCAACCAATCAATCAATCAATCAATCAATCAATCAACCAATCAATCAACCAATCAACCAACCAACCAATCAGCCAACCTGTCCTATGAACTTTTTTATTAGCATTAGCGTAGATGGGCTCAGCGCCGTTGCTGGCAGCAGCGCTTGATGACGTCACAGACGACGACGACGATGACGTGTTGGAGTTGTTGTTGTTGCTGCTGTTGCTGCTAGTCGTCGGTTTGTCGTACGGGACGTCGTGTATTTCTGGAAGTCTTGGCGCTGTGCGTGTGTGTGTGAGAAAGAGTTTTATGTGTGTTTGTATGTGTGTGTGTGCGTGTGCGCGTAAGTCTGATTCTGTCTGTGTGTGTGTATGTATATAAGTTTGTTGTACGTACTGTCACAATCACCATCACAATCATCATCATACCATTACCATCATCATCAACACAATCTTCATCAGCATCATCACCATCGTCATAACAAACCCATGTTATCGGCGTTACTCTCGCCAGCAGATGGCAACAACCCAGACGTAACACATGATGATGATGAAGAGGAGGAGGAGGAAGACGACGATGCTACAATACTACTATTACCACCACCACCATTACTACTACTACTACCACCACTACTACTGCAGACGCTAGTGTGGTTACTATTCGTAGTAGTAGCAGCAGTAGTAGTAGTATTGTTATTTTTAGTAACAAAAGATGATGACGATGATGAATTGTGTTCTGTATGATTATTATTATTATTATTATTATTATTATCAGATGATGATGATGATGATGATGTGGATGATGATGATGATGATGATGGTACTGAGGCCGATTCGTTGACGTACTCGGGTTTGCCGGAAGGTAACGGTGGAATGTATCGTCTGGAATGTCAAGGTCGTTAAGATGATGAAAGGTCAAGGCCGTTATGATGATGATGATGATGATAGAATAATAGTGATTATGACGAAGATGATGATGAGAAAGATGACGATGGCGACGATGACAACAAGGATGACGCAAACCTGGACAACTGAGGGGAGGTGCTAACGGCGTCAGGTGGTATAACTTTCCTGGGAGGTACGGGTGGTGGCACGTCCCTATCTTTCCTCGAGAGGCTCGGGGAAACCCAGGGAGAGCCCCCATTGTTGGTGGCCCTACGTAACGAGGTGGCCAGACTGACCAAGTTGCTGTTGGCTAGCCATTGTGATGGGTCCTTCAGGTGGTTATGATAATGATGAAGATGGTGATGATAATGATGAGGAGGAGGACGACGTGATGATGATGATGACGAGAGTGGACGACACGACGATGATGATGATGACGATGATAAAGTTGCTCACTATGGAGATGATGATACTGAAGAAGATGATTGTAAAAAGAATGACGAACCAACCTCAAAATTGTCATCTTCATCATCTCCACTAGGCGAAACTCTATTATTATTATTATTACTACTACTACTACCACTACTACTATTATTATTACTATGATTACTATTATGATTGTTACCACCACAACCGCCATGCGCGCTGAAGCCAGAAGCGCAACCACCACCGCTGCTAATGTTGTTATGACTATTATTACTGCTACTGTTGTTGTTGTTGCTGCTGCTGTTGTTGAGGGTGCTGTTCTGGGGTATGCCACGGGGGTTGAAAGGGTCGACCACGACCATCTCGGTCCCTTTGATTTCCGTGCGGCAGAAGGGACAGCCCTGACCGTCAGAATCCTAGGAGAGATGAACGAATGAGTGAATGAATAAATGAACGAATGAATGAATGAATGAATGAATGAATGAATGAATGAATGAATGAACGAATGAATAAACGATTGAATGAATGAATGAACGAATAACAAAATAAATTTTTTGAATAAAAAAAAGAAGCTCAAAGCAAGTGAGCTACAAGCAGCCAGCCAGCCAGCCAGCTAGCTACCTGCCAAGTGGTGAGACAGGGCGTGCAGAGGAGATGACCACATGGCTCGATCCTGATGTCCTTGTCGTTTTCGGCGCAGATCTTGCATAGCTGGAAGGTGGAGCCCATCTCGCAGTAGAGTTCATACTGCTCCTGGGTCACCTGGATGTGGTCCTCAGGGGCGTCCATCACCAGGCAGGAGAGTTCGATGTTCGAGTTGCGACCGTTCGGGTAGAGGTAACTGCAGGTGGGGGCATTTTAAATGGGTTACGGTTGTCAGGGTCAAGGTCAATCTGATCAGTGAATAATTTGACGACCAAATGAACAAATCAAGCGTCTGGCTGTAATTTGCACATAAATATTATCGTCCTAAAGATGTAAAAAACACGTAAAGGGTGATAATAAATGGAAGCTAAAGCATGAAAATAGCCAAAGAAACTAACAATCCTTCTCGCTCGCCGTCCAGCAGAGCCTGGCAGAGTGACTTGTTTTGCGGGATGGTCTGTAGGATTTGACCATCGCCCGTCACGTACCCTATAGCCCACTGCCCCAATCGAGTGCAACTCAGTCGGAAGACGTAGCTGTCGTGGTTGGAGTGCAAGTTAAGATGGTGAGTTGGTGGACGATGTGTGGTTGGGTCGGGTCAGGTCATATAGTTATTTATACTACATATCTAAATGTATGCCAATATTATACATGTATACAGCAATGTTAAACAAACACACACACACGCACACCACACACGCACACACACACACATACGCATGGGATTAATTCATCCGTTGGTTCTTTCCTTGCCGGCGAATTATAAATCTATCAATCAGTCAGCAGACATTCTTTGGAAAAAATGTGCATTCAAAAGTCAGTAGCGAAATATTATAGATAAAAATAAGAAATGAAGGAAGGGGAGAAGGCCGTTGCGCCAGGGTCTGTTATATTTATTATGTGTCACTGATCTTTGACGAGAAACAGCCAAAACGTACAGGAATTCAACACGTATCTAACATAAAGGAAAATAAAACATTCCGTGTGCATGTGTGCGCGTGTGTGTGCGTCGTTTTTTATATATTTATGATCGTGCACAGATAAATATGTCTGTGTGCATGTTTGTGTGTGTTTTTGTTTGTTTGTCAGCGTGTTTGCATGTGCTCCACAACACTGCACCGTTGGTTGATGTATGGAGAGGGTGAAACGTGATTCATGAAGACCCTGAACAAACTTTAATCACTCCAGTCGGCATGCAAGCACACGCGCACATGCGCACATTTAAGAAACGCTGGTGTATTTTTCCATGAGTATTCATCTCCATGGTTGATCCATATAGAGGGAGGATAGTAAACGAAAACTTGTAGGGAATGAAGGAAATGAGGTTGAACATGCCTCTAACTGAGCAGAACAACAAGAAAAAAATGAATTGCACTATTTATAAATGACGCGCGCGCGCGTGTGTGTGTGTGTTTGTGCCTGTGTGCGTGCATTTGCATTGTTGTACGAGTGAACAAATGTGTGTGCGTGCGTGTGCATAGAATGTGTATACAATCAACTCTGCATTTTGTCTGCGTGCGTGTGTGTGTGCGTGCGGGCGCGCTAGACTACTGATAACATGTTTTTCTTAACCAGTTAAAGTTTATCTAAGATGTCTAATGTATGTATGTGTATGCGTGTGTGTGTGTGTGTGTGTGTGTGTGTGTGTGTGTCGATATGTGGATACGTGTATGTGTGTACGTATGTCCGTGTGTGTGTGTGTGAGTGTGTGTGTAAGTGTATGCTTGTTTTGTATGAAGTCTGTGTGTGTGTAAATGTATGCATGTATGTATGTCTGTCTTTGTGTGTATTTTATTGTGTGCGTAAATTTATATGTATGATAGGTTTATAGTGTTGCATGGTTGCGTGTGTTTGTATTCAAAGTGTGAGTATTCCTAAGAATGTTTATGATGCAGTTCACAAATTCGGCTGTGTGCTGTTGTTTAAAATATTCAGCATATTTATTTATTGAAGTGTTGATTCACTTGTTTAAAATATTGATGTGAGTGTTTATATTTGGAATTAAGTTTTGTACTGTTAGTATGAAATGTTTTTATAAATGTGAAACTTCTTTGTAAGTATGAAACATCTTTGTATGTATGAGATATCTGTATGTATGAAACATCTTTGTATGTATGAAACACCTTTGTATGTATGAAACATCTTTGTATGTATGAAACACCTTTGTATGTATGAAACATCTTTGTATGTATGAAACATCTCTGTATGTACAAAACATCTTTGTATACATGAACCATCTTTGTATATAGAATATTTTTGTATATGAAACATCACTATATATACAAGAAAGATGTTTGTATACAAAATAATTGTATGGCATATGAAACATTTTCACAGAGCGTACATACGAAGACAAACCTGCAGACAAATAAATACAAATAAATATGCACAGAAGCACATGAACTGAAACGGATGTTAGGTGCCCAAGCAATACAAATAAAGTGAAGGAGAGAGAATAAAATGAGAAAGAGAGAGAGAGAGAGAGAGAGAGAGAGAATACATAAAAGAATGAGAGGAAAAGTTTGAGGAAAAAAGAAATTGAGATGAAGAAGAGAGAGAAAGAGCAAGGAAGTGACCAGACACATAGTTAATGATGAGCAAACAACGGGGGTAAAACGTGATGGACAGATGGACAGGCACTTCTAGCTTGTACCTTTCTTTCTTTTGTGTGTGTGCATGCGTGCGTGTGTGTATGCGTGTTTGTGTGTGTGCGCGTTTGCATACATGTGTATACTGTAGTCATCACCTGGATCTAGAACAGCCAAACATCGTCATCATTATTGTTAACAACATCATCACGATTCTTCCATTGTAGGGGAGAACCAAATCAACATCATCATCATCAGCCAAAAGTTGCATCATCATCATCATCATAACCTACAAACGTCAGAGTATCATAATCATCACCACTCAATAAAATTAACATCATCATCATCGTCGTTGTCGTCACCTTTATAAATGGTTAATATCATAATATGTCATTTTTTTCAACCAACAACATGAGGTTCAAAATGAACACCTGTGTCGCAATTATCATCATCATCATTATCATCATCATCATCATCATTATCATCATCGCCACCATCATCATCATCATCATTACGTAACATGATAATATGAGAATATAGCGTAATTTTTCATTCATCATTGAGTTACAAGGATAATAAATAATTACCATTATAATTTCCACTATGATTAACCATAATAATGACGTCACGCGTCGATATGATCACAATCATAACCGTCGCAATCATCATTATCAGTAGTAGCAGCAGCAGGGAGAAAAAACAACAAAATAAATGACAAAATAAATTAAAATATATTTATTTTTAAAAATGTGAAGCAAAAACCAAAAATATGAAAAAAAACTTGTTGCCCCCTTTCCTCTGCCACCAACAAACCCCACTATTCCACCCCACCCCAGCAACTGACCTTCCGGGTTTAGTGATGAAATTTTGAAGTCTGGCCTTGACCTCATCGTAGGTCAAGAAGGCCACATAGCCCGGGTGAGCCACTGCCAGCAAATTCCAATTACGAAGAAGGTTACACCATGGCTGGAATAATCTGTGAGTGTTTGTTTGTTTGTTTATGTTTTTGTATCTATGTTTGTACGTATTCTTTTGTATGTTTTTTTTTTGTATCTTTGCAAGTTTGTATCATGTTTCATGAATCTTTGCATGTTTAAATGTATATTTTGTTGGTTTTTATGTACTTTTTTTTCATTTCATTGCTGCTCGGTGTTCATAAACATAAATAAGGTCAACTCAATAACTTCATACAAAAAGATTTGTTAACAACTCAACCTGATATCAATAATGAAAGAAAATTATTTAATAATAATAATAATAACTGATATTTAAAAAAGAAAAACTAATTCTACGGTAAAGAACCTCGTAAAAACGTCGAATTCGAAAGATGATATGTAATCATTGCAAGTCAGATCTATGGTAGATTTCAGAGCGAGGGCTTCCAACTGCGTCGTGATTGGATGGTCTTCGTGCAGGCATTGTCGAAACAACTTCCAGGGAACCACTGTCCTAAAATTAGGCAAAGTAAGGATGTGCTTAAAAAACAGCTATGGCCAATTCTATTATAGAATATCTAAAATTAAGTTAGGAATGTGAAAAACTTGTAATGAAAATAAGATCCAATAGTCATAACTAACTTATCAGGAAAAGATTTCTTCCACCAATCGGCAGCATCACTCTTAGTGATCCTGAATGTGTCGCCGGCAAAGACACCTGACGGAAACAAAGCCTTCAACTCAGCTAGCATGTGAGAAAACATCAAAGATAACATAGTCAGACTTCTTCGGTATTCTGAATGTTCTTCGAATATCTTTTCTTTACTGTCCTTAAATAACTTAAGACATTTTTTGCATTTTGTTATCAGGTTGTCAAGGAATATTCTGAAATATTCTATGTCATTTAGTGTAGACATTTTGTCTTCGTACTTTAAGGAGATTTGCTTGAGATGTTGGTAGGTGTCGGGCAAAATGTCGAGGATGAATGGTGGAGAGTTCTTTAAATTCATCTTCGGCTGCTGACATAACTTAACCACCTAGTAAAAAATCATATCAATTAGTAAACTTATTTTAATACTGTAATCTTTATCATATATATATATATATATATATAAATGAAACTGTTGAACCCAATGTGAATGTACTATAATATAATATAATTTATATAATTATACAAATAATTTGTTAATTTAATTGTCTAACATTCAGAGCAAAAAACCAATCTAAAAAAACTTTAGAACATAAAAAATTAGGAAGCAGGTCTTAACACTTACCAAAAATAGAAAAAATAAGAAATATATTACTATGCATAACATAAAAACTCGACCTTGTCCATAAGTTTCCATGACTTTTCAATGGACTTTTTGTCAACAACCAGCTTAGAGGGGGCAACGGCCCCAGCAATTGCACCCTGCATTCTGCTGAAAAAACCCTTGGCTGGCAAATTCTTTCTCAGGGGATTACCACCAGAAAGATTAATTGAGAGGTTACTTGCCTGGTTGGTGCCAGCAGACAAATTGCTGCCCCCGCCACCTCCAGTAGCCATTGCTGTTACAGTAAGTTTTTTGATTTTACAAATCAAATTAATTAAAAATTAAATTAGATCTCTGTTGTGCGCTGGGCCAGATGATGATGACTGAGTGATGCTGGATGGAATTGAAATTCGTTACGAAGTTTGTGAAAATTGATTCGTTTTATTTTGTGACAGAAAGAAGATGACGTTTAATTATCTATGTTGTCGTGAGGTTGAAATTTTCAACGTAATCCTCATCTCCGTGCAGTTAGGAGTCAGTATTCTCGCTCGACTTAATTGATGCTGTCATCGGACAAATCCATCTATTGAGTTTATTGTTGTCAAACAAAGAGCTTTAAACTATGGAGAGAGTTATGAAATTTTGAAAATATCGTTTTTAAAACATATTTTATTTTTAATCAACATTTTAGTCATTATTTTTATATTAACAAAATTAAAACTGTTAAAACGTTAAATTTTTTTGTACTAATGAAAATAAGATTAACGCTGCTGAGATGTGGTTTTTGAAAAGAATTATGAAAATTGCAGTAAAATATTTAGTAAAATTAAATAAAATTACTACATTGTTTTAAACATATTAATATTAAGTTAAGTAAATATTTTACATAGCTTGATCGTTTTGTTAGAACCCATAAAATTTCGTAAGTAAGCCAAAACGCCAAAAAACCAAGCAAATCAAATAGCCCAACCCCTTAACCTAAGTTTACTTATTACTTTTCAAGATTTAAGAATTTGGTCCTAGTTGAAAATTTATAAAAGGTGATCGAGTACAATGTCGTCTGCTTATTATTTGTTACTTTTGACGTGTATACAAATGTTTAATTTAATAAATATTAAATTTTAACAGAAACATGTCTAAGTGGAAACAGAGTTACGAATCAGGCAGGAGGTACAAGGAAAAATGGGAGAAGCAGTTTACCTGGCTGGAGAAAATGTCCAACGGATCAGAAAATGCCTTCTGCAAACTTTGTTGCAAAATCCTACAACCGAAACTCTCCACCCTGATCAACCACTCAAAAACAGCTGATCACATCAGACAGGTTAAACAATTTTTTAAATCCTTAAATTAAAAATCACCTACTAACAAATTATAATTAAATAACTAATTTAATTACTAATACTCTTCAGTTTATTTAATTAAGTAATTTAGTACTATTAAATATTTATATTATTAACATGTACTTTATTAATTTAGTTTTGTTTAACAATAGGACAGGTGTAATAAAAATTAATCATATACTTAACTCATTTCTTAAAATCAATTCAGCATTTAGTTGCTATGTTACAAACCAAACTTATGCTTGAAATCATTTAAAAAGTATACCTCTACTCTACAAACCCTAATAAACATACAACTGCTACCAAGTTTTATGGATTTCATAACTATTATATAACCATTAAACATTGAAAAAACAGGAAGAATTTTACCAGTTGGAATTATCAAACCAGCAAGATGAGGACACCGACCCCCCACACAAGTTATTACGACTATCCAATGGAGAGGACTTATCATTCGACGACGATGACTGGAGCAACTCAAACCTTGAACCCCTTGATGATTCTAAAGTTTTTGGAATGTGGCTGGCCGATCAACTTCGTAGTTTGAACTCAGATTCTAATAGAGAAAAATTAAAAGGTCTGATTGAAAAAGTTGTCAATGAAGTTAGGGATTTAGACTCTTCTGAAACTACAACAGACCAGCAGTCTGGCTGTGATGATTCCGACGTTACTCAGTGTAGCAGTCAGCACTGCAAACACTCAAAAACATAGCAAGACTTTTTTAAACTATTTCAGATGTAAATATGCAGTAGACTCTTTTTATAACTTCAATTTTTTAAGTGGACTAGTGTATTGCGAAATCCATAAATTCAACAAAAACGCATTTTTCTGATTTGTTATTAACTAGATGAAACATCAAAATATTGTTAGATTATTTTTTAATTATGTAATTACATTTTTCTATTTATTTATCAATTGGGGGAATTCCCAGTTCTTCATCGGTCCAATCTTCAGGTTTAACATATGGGTGGTGACCCTATAAAGAAAAATTTGTCAAATTAAGAATAGTTTCAATATATTTTTAATTATTACCTACAGTTTACAAATAACAAATAAAAATTGTGTTCTATCAAATATTGAATTGATATAATATAACAAATCTATAAAAAGTCAGTTGTATTTGTATGGTGTCATGTTTAAAGTATTGAATTTTCATCTTATAAAGATAAAAGTGATAGTGTATTTTTGGTAAATAATAAAAATAATTGCAATTTATTAAAAAATGAATTACTTATTAAATATAAAAAATAAGTAAAAAATATAATACCGTCATCTTATCAGAGTTGTACCAGAGATGCCAAAGGACGAAATACCACATTAGAGACATGACCAATTCTGCTCTGACCTTATTATATGTCTTTACATCCTTCTTTATACTTCTATACTGCCATCTGGGTTTTTTTTTTAGAAATTTTAATAACTAGTAATATTTTTCATTTATAAGTTAATTAAACTGTAAACAACCCACAACTCATTATACATTAAGGCTTAATGATTAAGCCTTTAAGTTAAGGGATTAAGACAAAAAGATTAACAATTACATTTTTAAAGAATCATCAATCAATTCAATACAATAAAACAGTACAAGAAATCAGCAATTTTTAAGCGAATTTGTCGAAAAATATCATTTTTATAGAATAGAGAGATGAAATAATAGATTAGAATTAGTATTAGATTACCATTACATTATCATTAGAGAAGAATTTTAATTTAAAAAATTGAAACTAACAAATCTTCTGAACTCGACTTCCTGACAGAATTGACAGTGATTCTCCGGAACGAAGCAAGACCGCCCAATCTTGTCAACCTGCTGAGAGTCCCCAACATTTTAGTTGAACTTGAAATTAATCAGAATTCTAATCCAACGAGAAACACAAAATTTAAAAATGAATTTATGTTTGCATTAGCAGCCAAGGTCGGTTAAATGTAAACCTCTGCGGCAAGACTAAACGCTAAAACAGAAAAACCGATCACAATTAGCACACAAGTTTATATGGTTGAGATTTTAAAATCAAATTGCAATTGTATTTTTTGAATTATAAATTTTGCGATAAACTTTTATTGCAAAATACTGTTATAATACCGCATACGCTTTTCATCTGACGTTAACTTCAAAAACTATAGTTCTACTCTTAAAGATATATAGGCTTCCAACAACGTACACCGCATTACAAACATTGTTTGTAACTGAAAAAAAGAAGTAAACTCAGGATGAAATAAATTTTATTTTTTAAACCGGACCGTCGAAAAACGTTTGAAAAATCAAAAAATAATGTTTAATGAACTATGCAAGAATTAGAATCAACATGTTACATTAAATTACACTTATCATACAATTCAAAGCAAATCATGATTGATGTTGCAGTTTGTGGAACTATTATTTTTTGTTAAGTACGAAATAAACTTCACCTATCAATACTAAAAAAAAATAACATTTACAAAGAATAACTTTATTTTGAAATAAAATGAGAAAAAATAAAAATAAAATTATATAATTATATGAAAATCTGCAGGGAAATTTCTACTTTTCAGTAATTAGCAGTTCTGCCGTAACCGAACCTCGGCGCGTCTTTCTTCTTGCCGACTAATTTATCTAACTCATGTTTGACCTTATCTTTCTTCTTATCTTTTTTCTCGCTCCTATCATCGTCACTACTATCCGAAGATGATGACGTATCATCGTCCTGTGACGATGTAGGTACTCTATACCTCAGCAAGTTCTCATCTATCTGCCTGATGAAATCCCTCATCACCTTATCAGCAGCTTGTCCGGGGGTAACAACTCCCTTCCGAACTAACTCCTCCAAGTCAGGAATCAGTTCTTTAACTCTTGGGATCTCGTGGAAGACGGATACCAAACTATCGTGAATGTGGTTGTGCATCCATCTGACGTGCTGCCTGCGACGCAGCCTCTCCAGCTCCCCTGACGACGACATGACCTTGTAGTACTCCTCCATCTTCGCCCACATCTCCTCCATGCCTTCCTTTGAAACTGATGACACTCGCAACACCTGAGGAATTTTGGAGTGGAAATACTACGGGTAAATAAACCATCGTTTGTCTGAATATTTAAATGTCACATCGCAAAAAGTTTATGGACTGAATAAAAGCATGCTTTTTTAAAGAGTATTTAAAATTTTAAACTTTACCAGCAGGGTACCATTGCTTATTTAAACAACATTGATTACAAATACGTCACACTTCATATTTCGTTTTGCAATCATCAACACAATAAACAAACAAGATACCAAATGATACAACTCACCATAAATAAATAAATGTTACCAACAGTATTCACTACAAACAAATCGAAATTATACAGTGCATTTTAAAAGGACACTAACGCATGGCTTCCAGACTTTAGTCTTAGGCCTGATGAACTTCATGGCGCTAACGTATTCCATTTGAATTCTTCTAGCTGCAGGGATGAGGTCCCCGTCGGATTTGTTGATCACCACCATGTCAGCCACCTCCACAATTCCTTTCTTTATGCCTGGAGAAATAATAATTATTAAGTAAACTACACAAGGTTGTACTACGATTTCGGAGAGGAGAGATAGGTAATGGATAAGGTGCCTGGTCTCGTTGTTGTAATAACCGGGTTTGAATGCAAGGATATCCTCCCGTCCCGTATATATCACATGCAATTTGTGTGGTACATGGATTCACTCATACGTTGAAGTGGGCTCTGCTATGTTGTTCATACACCTCTTAGGTATAGTTAGATAAAAGAAACTTTTGAGAGTAATAACATTATACAAATTTGATGTATTAGTAACATAGAGTTCAACATTACAGAATTGTCCTAGTGAATGATAAATGCAATACCATTTCGTTTAACATGAGCAATGACAATCCCTTTAATTCATATTATTCATGATTTCATGATTGCTGGCTTCATTAATTATAATATTATAATGAGTTGCTCAAACCTTGCAATTCATCTCCACCAGCTGGAGGCAGCAACAGCTCAAACAAATCAACCATATCAGCAACTGCAAACTCTGACTGGCCAACACCTTATGAATATTAATGAGATTAATTAAGAAAAAAATCACCCAAAAAAATGGTCAGATGTTTTTAATGTGATTTATAATAAAAAGAAATTAATAATATTTAATTTAAAAAACTTTATAATAACAATTACAACATTAGTGATGATAATTAAACCATAAAAAAACTGACCAACTGTTTCAACAATGATTATATCATAGCCGGCCCCCTCACATAGGACGATCGCATCGTTAGTCACTCGAGTCACCCCACCTAACGTTCCTGAGTTAGGAGAGGGTCTGATGTAGGCATTTGGGTCCACTGCCAGTTGAAGCATTCTCGTTTTATCACCCAACAAAGAACCTTGCAGTAAAATTTAATTATTCACAATAAATAATGATTTGTTACTTACTATGCAAATCTTTGAAAAAGAATTATAGCATTATCTATATTTAATAACTTTAAACTTATTTTAATTTTAAGATAATTAATTTAAAATGTTTGAGATTTCTGTGAACTCTATGAAATGTTACCTCCAGAAGTGGAGGACGAGGGGTCAACAGCCAGAACAGCCACTTTGTGATTTCTCTTGGTGAGCATTTTACCTAGAGCCTCGATGTGGGTACTTTTACCTGCCCCTGGAGGCCCTGACAAACCTGGGTGGAGAAAAATTTTTTTATAGACAATCCGTGTACCACACTAATTGCATGTGTTATATAGGCAGGGAATTTTAATAGAAATAGAAAGTTTTCATTTTGTTTCATGTTAGTAAGTCCTCATATAAAATAAACTTATAAAAAGAACTGCATAAAAATATAAAATTGCTATCTTGAAAATATATGCACAAAAATTCATAAACTTGTTTATAATGCTTTCATTCATTAAATGAATAAAAACTTCAGACTAAAAAAAATGATCATACCAATTCGAAAAGACATGGCAGAATTCAATGAATGTTTCTGCTTCCGGCGACAATACTCGAGAACTTCTCTGACCAGGACCTGACCTTGCGCCCTCTTCATTGGGTGGGTACTTTCAATCAATGTGATTGCCCTGGCCAGGTAGCTCCTGTTTTCACTTTTGATCCCATTCAAGTACTCCTGGACTACAGGATCGTCAGGCGTCACGTTGGGACGGTTGATTACTGAGCCGACGACGATGGGATTGGCGGGAAGGCTGTCGTGGTTCAATTTGTGATCATCGGGCCGTTCAGTGTACTGGGGGCTGTCGTTGAATGTCACTAATTTCAGTCGGTACGTGTTTGGTGTGAATTGCAAGGCGCCGTCCTCATCAACCGTGGTGATACTTGTTGCCGATGTTTCGGTGGACGCTTTGGTGGACGATGTGCAAAACCGTGCGGCATTGAGATTAAGAAAAACTGGATTGAGGTTTTTGCTTGTTTTCAACGACAGTGAGGATCTTAAAAATCTCGTGTTTGTTGAGAGAAAGAACACGATGCTTCTGCCGAACATGATTCAGTGCGACGGTCTTACAAAATTTGTGCCTTTAAACTTTTAAAGTTTAAATTTTAAAAATCAAAAAAATTAATAACTGAAAGATCAGCTGGTCGGTAGTAACAGGCAGGGCAATCCGAGTCCGTTGTCAGCACCTCGAAATAAGATATTTAAAAACCGATGACAAGTTGAATTAAAAGTAGAATAAAGTTGAACGCAGCTGTTGAAATGACAAATGATGTCTCAAAACGCCATTTTCATGATCCTAACTAATTATTTGAAGCTACTTTTTGCTGGATGAACGAACTCAAAATTCCCAAGGAGGTCAGTGTCAAGGTTTAATCACAGGTCATTTATGTTTCTTTCATATTTTTTAATAATAAAGCCAAACAAGTTTGAATTTATTTAATAAAAAAACCAAATATCACAAAAATGTGCAATCACAAAGTGCGCAACCACAATCACAATCGATGGACTCAGAACAAAAACCTATCGTCATGTTAATCATTTAAAAAACCGAACTCTCATCCAAATCTGACGTCGAAACGCAACACATTTAAAATTTACAACTGTTAAAGCAAATGTATTTAACTGTCTCAATTATTTAAGAAAAATCAGCAATATTAATCACTGGAGAAATGAAAAAATATATTTAAAAAATCAATCTAATAAATAAATAAATAAATTAATTAATTAATAATAGAACAACCAGCAACAATGAAGCGACTATAACTCAACTAGCTAACTAACTCACTGTCAAACTGTTTGGTTCTTTTTAAATAAAAGTTGAATTCTTGGCATGCTGTGCATGGATACAAAAGATTCAACCAATTTAGGTAGTTCGCCGTTGTAAGGAATGTGGTATTTAATAATGGCGGTAGCCGCCAGACATTTTAATGTCATATAATTAAACGGATTTATATTTAATTTCGGAGTTTGGAACAGCATCTTGTAAGGAGTAATGCCTTGTCGATTGCAGATATCAACGTCAGCTCCGTATTCCAACAACTTGATGATAACCTCGCGGTTAGGATAGGAACAATCGATGCCGTGATGAAGTGGTGTCTCCCCCTGAAAATCTACGCAATTCGTCGAAATTCCACAAATCAGCAAAAAATCTAAAACTACCAAATTGGGAAATAATTCACCCTGATGAAAGTAGAGCGTAGAAAGTGCAGAATGGTCGCCACAAACCGCAATTTTCATCATTTCAGACTCCAGACTGAATTTACTGAAGGGAGGAGTCGTTTTGTGGCACAAAGATATCAAAGAAGAAACCGACCGTTTTAATTCTGTCATAATTTTATCATCATTTTCATTATATTGACAAGCTTGGCTTGGCAAGATATCAAACAGTGTTCTCAACAGAGCCATGAAACTTTCGACCAATTCAGTAAACAATCTTATGGTGAAAACGCATTTGAAGCCTGGTTGCGCATAAGCGTGGAAGATCTGAGAACCTTCACTGAGGTTAGAATCTTGAAGAAAAACATTTTTTTGAATCCTGACCATACCCTTTATTATTAATTCCAAAGTAGCAAAAATAATGAACTTAAGAGAAGAAAAGTTTATGAAATTTCGTTGTCCTTCGTCACCGTATATACATTTCAGCAAATTTTCAGCCAGTAAGCTACAATATTGACTAGTTTTTTCAGTTATGTTATTTTTATCATTAGACTCTGCTCCATAGAGAAGAATTTTGCATGAAAATTCTAAATCACCGAGTTCCATGAAGGTCTTGGCTGCTTTATCCATGCTGGCAACTGTTTCAGAATGGGACGGGCCCAGGATGTCTTGAAGAACCAGCAGAGCTTGGAGTGTTAACTTCTTTTTGTCCTTTGAAAGCGTTTCAAGTTCTTCCAAAGTGGAGCAGAGTTGCATGTCTTTGAATGCAGACTCGTAGAGTGGGGATGTTATGTTGAACTCTGTGGGAGGGTCAGCTTTGTCAACTGGTTTTGAATTATTTACCCCTTGAAATGAGATGTGATTAATGACAGTGTGTTTGGAGCTATCAGCATAGAACTTTTTTAATTTTTGCATCATCTCCGAATCGCTTGATCTTATGTTACTACTAATTAACTCCGTTTGACATAATTCAGCTAATGATTGAAGAGCAGTTTTCCAGAACATCACCCCTCTCTCGAAGTCTTCATAATTGTTGATACACTGAGCTCCCAGCAAGCCTAAATAACAAATCTTCCTTTCAACTCCAATCTTGTTTTCAACTTTCTCCATGAGCAATTCAGCAGTCTCACTGTGGCCATTCATGCATGCCTGTAATGGATGGTGAAACAGTTCAAATGTAATTCAGTTGAGTTGAACATGCATTAATCAAATCTTCTCAAATTTCTTTACCCATTAAATCAAGTCAAACCGAACTAAATGTTATAAAAAGTAATGAAAAAATTTGTGGCGATAAAATTATTAAATTACTTGAAATAAAGGAACAAAAACGATCTGTGAACTGTAGCTAGTGGGCATTAAGTTGACATCAGCTCCATGTGACAGCAGCAGTGAAACCAACTCTACGTTATTATACTGGCTGGCATATATGATGGGTGTGGCATTCAGTGAAACATGATTGACGTCTGCATTGTGCTTGAGAAGGATTTTAACACTATCTATGTCCCCACAGGCACATGCCACACAGAGGGCTGTACCTAACGTATTACAACGTGAATTAAATGAGAATTCAAGAATAAAGAAGAAAATTTTAGACTAAATAATTTACATAAACTAGAATTCATTTTATCCATTTATATTAAATTTTTAAAATATGAGAAAAAAATAAAACCTTACTGACATTTATCTTTCAGTAAGATTGGCATATTGATATCAATTTCATACTCAGTCTCAATGTTGTACCCTTTTTCTAATATAAATTCGACAGCGTTAATCTGACTCGACGAAATGGCCTCAAAAATAGGCGGGCCGAAGGGAAATGACAACCTGTGAATGAGCTCGACCTGATCTGCCTGACTCAAGTCATCCAAGATGGATGACATCATTTGTACATCACCATGGCTACAGGCATCTCTAAATCTATCACTAAAACTGTGGAATTAAACTGAATGCTAATTAATTTAATTCATTCAAATTAATTGTATGAAATAATTTTCAAAAGCAATCAAATATACTATAGTTAATACTATCATAAGAAAATAATACATGCATTATATTATAATTAAACACATCATACAAAATCCTAAATAATTTATATATAATATAATAAAGTAAGGACGTTTTATTCTCTCTACTAATATTTATCAAACTTGAATTGACTTTAGTTAGCATCATGACATGCCATTTTTTTTAAAGAAAAGAAATAAGTCTTTTCAATAGTATTTAATGTAAAGTAAAAAAAAGCATAAAACTTTTAAATAAACAAGCAAGAGAAATCAAAAAAATTAAAATTTATAAAATTAAAATTTAAACAAATTAGTAATTGCTCACATGGCCGCATACACCTCAACTCCAGTTAGTCCACAGTCTACTGAGGCAATTTCATTTTCCTCATCGGTTTCATCCATTTTCTCATTCAATTCAAGTAGTAGTTAAATACTTAATACAAATTAATACTTATGCTTTAATAAATACTGTGAAGGTAGCGATAGTAGAACTAGGTGCTAAATAATTTGGCCTTCCTTGATATGTTAAAAAGAGCAGATCTATTTACTATTTTTATTAGGATATATAAAAACAAAATGGAAAACTGAAAAAGTACTATTATAATTTATTTTATAAACAAAAACATTGTAATTGTACGTTCGGCTAACGAACGGGCGACATTCTAGCGGCATTTATAATCTGTTTTATTTTAATATTTATGTTAATTTTAATTTGTTTTTCTAAATTTTTGAGTTCTTCAACATCGAGAAAGACACGTACTTTTGAAGACAAATTTGACACATTTAAACTTTTATTAACATTTAAAAATTAAATTAACATAATTAAGAGATGTCCTCAACTCTTGCGCAATAATTCATTACCTTACATCACACTAACCAAGTCATTTTTTTCCCATGTTTTTTTCATATAATTCATTAATTATATTAATAAAAATACACACCAAATACAAAACTTTTTAAACTAAATAATTATTATCGCATATTTGTAGGCAAAATAGTAAAATATTTCGTTAAAAACCAAAAAAAAAGTGAAATAAAATACGTTTGACACAATGAGCAAACAGTTAGTTAACGTGCAATTCATAAAAAATCACAAAAAAAATGTTAAATAAAAGTTTGTTACGAATGCTAAAAAGATAAAAGAGAATGTATGCAAAGAGGGGACTCCGTTGATGTTATACTCGTCCGCCCATGGAATGTACCCAAACGGCATGTATATGTAGTCCCGCGGCAGTTCACAGGTCTCCTGGAAGGAGTAGATGAAAAATCCGTCTAGGGCCTGCTCTATCACTATTGGTTTGCCTGTACAGGTATCAAGTAGTTAAGTTAGTTACGTAATTGTAAATCAATTAGCATTACATGTTATAAATGTTGATACTTTTTGGAAATGCCCAACTTATTAAAACCAGTTAGTTTTTTGTCTAAAAACTGACACAAGGAGAAGGCGAAATTTTGAAAAATAATAACAAAATGGGTGTGGAAGAAGACGTGAGTTTTGTGCGAGGCTATGGTGACGATGATTATTATAATCTTGAATTTATTACACAAAGTTTAACTTATGTAATTTTATATTTTCTTCTTACATATAACAAACTCAATGATATACACATACATAACTTTAAAAAATTATCAACGAATCTTTCATAAAGGGCAAGTTATTCCAATAACAGAAGTAGTAAATGCAAATTGGACTAACTGTTGGCCGTCAAGGGCACTTCCGGGGCATCGGTGCGATTCACTCTCAAGAGCAGAGGAAACCGATTGTCAACGGCCAGCACTTCCAAAGTCACTTTGTTGTTCTCAATTGTGAAGGTCAAATTGTTATTTAGGTAGTGGAAATTACGGAGGACCATTTTTTTGTGGTTCGGTGGGGGCATGGGGCGACAAAATTCCAGCCTGTCTGGTTTTATTCGCACCCCAGCAAACCCGTAAATTAAAGATTGTAGGAAGGCGCCCATTCCTGGGAGGAAGTTAGTTGAGCCGACTGCTTGGTCAGCCTCCGAACGCTCCGTGTTTTCTGTCCAAATCTTTGAAAAAGTTTTATTTTTGATAATTAAAAATTAGTTGAGCTTAATCATTTAGAAGACATTCATCAAATACAAGTAACATAACAACTGACCTTAAACGGCTGTATAATATAATCCTGGTAGCTCTTCAAGAAGGCAGTGGCCATTTTTTGCACCTCCCCCGTCCACTTCCAGCCAATGACGAACCAGCTGAGCGTCATGGAGGATGTCTTCTGTTCGGTCAGCAACTCGTAGTAGTTCAGATCATTGCGCATGATGTCGGTACTGTAGTTCCAGTTCAGTGGATGGTTGAGAAGGATGGCGTCTGCCATTTTCAGCGGCTTGTCTCGGTCTGCAAATGTCCAGGAATAATTTTTTTTGTTAATTAAATAAATATATACATACCAGATATCAACAAATTTTGTATATGTTTGAAACAAGTGTTAATAAAACACAACATACAAAAGAAAATTTAAAACACATCCCAAATCTCCAAAAAAAAATACGACGAAAGAAACAACGAAAGCACAGACGCCAAAAAGAGCATCTAACCCGGATCAAATCCTTCATACTGATAGTGCAATCTTTTGATCTTATCGTAGGGAAGGTTCAGGTAGAAGGCCTTCCGGACGAATTCATCGGGCACCTCCTCCCTCTCGTTCCTCTGGCACATGCAGGAGAGGTAGCGGGCGAAGTGGATGGCCAGGGAGAAGCTGCAGAGGAGGAAGGCGTTGTTCTTGACGCGCGGGTGGTAGTCGTCAGGGCCGGTGGCGTCTGGGAGAGAAATTATTTTTTTTAATTTCAATTCTGACTGATGTTTTGTCTGAGGGAGTGATTATTTAACTTTTTTTTACATTTTAAACCAATGTTTTTTATTCATGAAGATGATGAAGATAGATGATTATGAAATGGTTGATCAAGGTAATGAATGGTGATTTGTATAAACTTCATTATTAGCTGTAATTGTGACAAAACAAGGAATTGAAAGTGATGAGATTATATCTGTGGAAACATTATCGTGGTGATATCGTCAGTATTAATCCTTAGCTTCATCATCATGATTCATATATCATTATTCTTATCATCTAGTATCATCTTTTCATCTCCAAGAAACTCATTTCGACATCAACTACACCAAACCTCACCTAGCAGTTCATATCTCTTCAATCCCTCGTTGAAAACTAGCTGACTGGCCAGGAACCAAGTGACCTCTCTCGACATGTCACACCCCTAAAAAAGATTTTTATTTTTTAAATTAAAATTTGCTAGCTATTTAGTTATTAAATTATCGATTATTTTATTCTGATTCTAGCCTAGTGTTTTTTGATAATTTTTGATCCGCAATAATTTTATCTAAATTGACGTGAAAGACTTCAGTCCTAAACCGAGTAAATGGGATTAATCATGAAATCCCTATCCCTCGTCATAGAGATGTAGTAACGGATCGCCAAAGCCACGCCACTGGTGGTGTAAAACTTCCGCCAATTGCAGTCCGTGTCGTTTCCTGGACAGGGATCGGATGTGACGTCATTTCCTGTGTAGGCGCTCTCCCACGGATAATGGTAACCTCGGAATCCTTTGCTGGCTGCTCTTTCCGAAGCCGCCTTCCCCATCGCTGATCTGTGGAGTTGAAAAAACGTGGTTGAGGGTTTTGTTTTTTTGGGGGTTTTGTTTATTTAGGATGGAGTGGTTTCTTAAATGAGATAGCAGGTTTTTATTAGGCAACCATTTTTAGCCTGGATAAAAATCAGCGCTACCTGTATCTCAACATCTGTTTTGCCATGTAAGGATGGAAGGGTAGAATTGCAGGAAGGATGTAAAACTCATTATCCCACATCACGTGACCTTGATAATCCTTCCCCAGTTCGCCTTTCCCGATTGAAGTTCGACCGCATCCGTAGAAGAGGTCGCTGTATGGAGGCGGGAGGTAGGGATTTTCGGCCGGAAGTGAATTGAGGATGTAGGCCTGCGCGAACCAGACTGCCTTGATGAGTTGGTTGGTGTTGGATCCTGACAACTCTATTCTGCCACCATCCCAAGTTTTCTGCCACTCGTTGACGTGCGACATGAAGAAATTGTAGTTGGCGTCGTCGCCGTTTAGTAAGTCCAGCTGAGCCTTGTCGAATTCGGCCCTGAAAGTTTTATGATTTGGTTTGGTTAACTATTTAATATCTTTAATGCTATCCATTTATAAATCTAATTTTGGGATCACACATTTGTCAGTTTGCTTAAATTTTTAATATAAGTTTTAAAAACTATTTTAATTTTTTTTGTTCGGTTGAATCGGTTTCTAGCTTTTAGATTTATTTTGCGTAGTAGCTACTCAATTCAGAGAACCTGGCGTTGGCTTCGTTCGTGTCGACGGACATAATGAACGTGTAGTTGGCGGATTTCTGACTGCCGGAAATGCTAATCATGGGAAGGGGTTGCTGGTAGAACACGAAGACTGTCCTCGGACTGGCCCCCTTTTCTGCCGTCTTCGTCGTCCCAGAAAGTAGCCTACATAAATTTTACGTCTTAAGTTCAATTCTTTACTTTTTAAGATTAATCCCTTAATTTAATTATCACATATATATAATTAATTTAGAATAGTCGGTAAAAGTGTAATTGACTGTTAATGGTAATGGATAAGGCTTTAATTTGAGAGCCATCTTGTTATTTATATGATAAAAGTTGTTTACTTTGTAGTTGCGAGTATCACTACCTCATTAAAGTGATAAGAATTGTGTCTAATTCCCTTTCATGCTGATTCGATTTGTTATTAAAAAAAAATTAAAACTGAACAAAAAATTTATAAATCGCGAAGCACAAAAACAACTAAGGCATTACCAAAAATAATTCGCATACTATCAAACCATAAGTATACTATCATATGGATACTATCAAAATCTTAAAGATACTATCAAAAAAAAAATCCCAACTCACCAATTCCCAATATACGGAACTGGTTTCTTGAAATCTATATCTTCGCTGACAAGAGGCGGATAGCTCAGCGTTAGGAAACCACCACCAAAATTGACTGGCTGGAGTTTGTAGTTGATCTCGACGACATACAGGCGGATGTATTTCTGATGTAGATAGATTTTATGCTCTATGTAAGCGTACTCGCTTTTAATCGTTTCCATGAAGTAACCTTCGAAGAAAAAATTCATTTTACGAATTGCAAACTGGTTTAAAGAAATTTATAATACAACCTGTACGTACTAGGCAGATAAATTTTCAAACTTACCGACGTTAATTTCAATTATAAATATATTGTTTAAAAAAAAAACAAAAATTTATAGACAAAAAATTTTAAAATTAAAAAAATAAACTGATCGTCACCCTGTAGAGCATTGTAAACGTACTTCCTCGTCCCTCTCCTCTCGATCTCCGGATTGGAGAGATTGATCCTGGACATGAGGAGGGCCGGGATAGCTGCTCTGTGGGATTGGGCTGATGAGACGATGATGATGATGAGGATGTGATAGTGGATGGTGATGATGAGGAAACAAACAAGCAAACCATAAACACACAAACAAACAATAAACACACAAACAAACAAACAACAAACAGTAAACAAACACACGAACGAGCAAACAAACAAACGAACGAAAACTAACATCCAGCCCCATTGAACAGCCCGTTAAGGTACATCTTATCGCTATAGACAGTCGTTCCAATGTATCCATTTCCTAAGGTCGGCATGTACCTCTTGTTTATCGTGGCTTTGTCGGCCATTAGTGGAAGACTGTGGTGATGAAGACGACGACGATGATTGTGGTGGTGGTGATGATGATTGTGACGACGGTGATAATGATGATGATGATGACGATGGTGGTTGTGATTGTGATTGTGATGATGATGACGTTGATGGCTGTGATGATGATGACGACGATTGTGCCTTAATTTTTGCTATGGTTGTAATAAATTACACACAGGAAAGTATTCAAAGTGTAGTGATCAAACGCGCTTTACCACGCAGTAACCGGGTTCAACAGCAGAGAAATCCCCGACACTCAGACAGATACAAGAATTGTTGCACATAACCCATCTTAATATTAAAGCTCGCCATATAAATCGTAAAATTAAACAAAAATTAAGCAAAAATTAAACAAATAAACTCACGCAGAACTCCTAACTTCAAAGGGTTCTAAACTCTCATCACCAATTTCGGCAGATTGCCTCTTTAAACGTTTATGTTTTGACGATTTCTTTGACGATTTGGACCCAGAACTTTTATCGGATGAATACAGAGAGGAGAATAAATCAGTGATTTCGTCGAAAGATGGCATTTTAAACGATTGTACTACACTGACGGCCAGTACGGACGTACAGACGATGTAGATAGTTAGAAACTTCATTTTGTGTGGGTTTTTTGTTTGGGAATCTTTCAATTAACCGTGCAAATTGGTTAGCGTAGAACTTTTTATGGAAAATTATGCTGGCTTAAATGTTTCGTATAAAACTTATACTGTGAACTTACTAAAATGTAACCTAACTTGTATGTTAGTATGTAAAAATATTTTATAATATGCACCTCCTTAATGCTTAAATGAATATGTTAACGTGATATTTTCAATTTAAATTAAAATAATACAAAATTAACACATTCCTCGTATATATTACCTTGTAATTTATTAAAATATGTACATATACATTATTTACAATTTCACATTGATTAATTAATGCTTTAAAAAAGTTTCCTTCAACATCTTCAACATGCACAGTACATAATCAATTTATCTATTACGAAATATTATTGAAAATAAAACACACCAGAAACCATTCAAAATCTTTTCGTATTTGAAAATTTCAAATAGATACAGTTAATCAAAACAACCAAACAACAACACCATCCGCATTTGTTTATATATCTGGTACAGGTAACACAGCCAAATGCAATACAGGTGCTTATTTAAATTTTGATTACATAGATATATTTATTGGTTTTTTTCAGTAAATTAATTATTCTTTGGAAAACAAACAAGATGACGTAGTAATTTAATTAAATTTATACTTTTGGCAAACAAAGAAGTGACGTGATGGTTTAGTTAATTCGAATTTTCGATAAGTGCAATTGCGCATCTTTTTAAGATTTATAATCTAAAATAAATATCGAATCTGACGCTTTGAGAGGTTTGTACGCCATTTTTTTTCAGATTTTAATTTTAATAAATTATAATATAAATAATAAACAGTGAGCAATATTGTAATTATTTTTTATTTATAAGGGACGGCTCATCAAAAATGTCACTCGTTTGTGGGAATATATAGGCTTTGCCAACCCCCCCCCCCTGTCAAAAAAGGACAGCCCCTTCCCAATCAAAATTTGAAAAAAATATTTAACTTTTTAATCGTCAAAAGATAATAATACTTGAAATAATTTTTCAAATCAAATTTTTAGTTTGGCATGCAGTTTGAAAGAAAAACAAAGAAATTAATGAAAATTTGTTCATGACAAACAAACTCTATGAATCATAATTGTTTGGTGAATAAATACATTTTTGAGGATTTATATTTATAGTTAATTTTATTCATTCATTCATTCGTTCATTCATTCGCTCATTCATTCACGCAGTCATTAATTCATCCATTAATTCCATTATTCAGTTAATTTTACCTAAAAACTTTAAATCAATGTGGTCATTCAATGCTTCTTACTCATATATAGCTAAACCGTCATTCATTCGTTCGTTCAATCGTTCATTCTTTCGTTCACTCGTTCGATCATTCATTCCTTTAGTCGTGCCTATATCAATTCATTCATTCATCTATTATTATTATTATTATTATCATTATTATTATTATTATTATCATTATTATTATTATTATTATTATTATTGTTATTATTATTATTATTTAGAAGAACACCCGTTACACAAGACACACATAAAGTAAGGCACTGCGTTTAAAAGGTTAAAAAATGCCTGTAAAAGTACAACTACCACATAAGTAAGACTGGCTTTTAAGTAACACGCACAAACATACACGCACACACACGCACACACACACATACATACACGCTCACACACATACACGCACGCACACAAAAAAACACACACACGCTAAAGTACTGACACGTAAACACACACACACATACACACACACTCACTCACTCACTCACTTGCAAGCACACACAAATAGACATACACACATCCTAAAACTAATGTGTAGGCAAAATCATTACAAAGATAGTTGGATTGTGGTGAAAAGGAAAACAAATAAGTAAGAGGCACTATAATTAAATGAATTATGATGACGATGACGATGACGATAATGATGATTACGACGATGATGATGATAATGATGATGATGAAAAAACATTAAATACACCTGATAAAGTTGAATGTGATGATGATTTCAAACGTAATAATGATCATTTTGATGGTATTCATGTATAGTAATAGTAAAAGATTTGGATTTTTTTAATTATATATATATATATATATAGAGAGAGAGAGAGAGAAGAGGGAGGGAGAGAGTAAATAGAGAGAACGAAAGAATAAAGCAAATGAAAGAATAGAACTAATCACAATTATAAATGATGCAGCTAAATCAATGAATCAATCTATATAAACACATTTGTATTGATGTTAAGAGAACAATTGTATGTTCAAAAATGAAAATAACAAATCCATAAATAATAATAATAATAATAACTATAATAATATTAATTATAATTTTATTATTATTATTATTTTTCTTTTTCATTGTTGGTGGCTTCGGCCGCGGCTCTCATGTCGAAGTATTTGCTAGGATCATCGACGATTGATGACCTGATGGAGTAAATGAATGAATGAATGATTAATTGAATGAATGAATGAATGAATGAATTGCGGAATAGAAGAATGAATGATTGTTTGAATGAACGAATAAATGAAAGATTGATTGAATGAATGAAGGAAAAAAAATAGATGAACGGAGGAATGGACAAATCAGAATATAGAAAATGATTGTATATATGGGTACTGGATGGATTATTGTAGGGGTGGGCAAACTACGACCCACAAAGCTATTTTATGCGAAGCCTTGCTTGCCAAAAGAAGGAAGTCAGCCAGACGTTATGATCAAAAAAGGAGCCAGAAATCTTAAAAAAATTCTCCCTAGGGTCGAAAAAATTTGCTATTGAAGTACATAAGCGGCCCTTCAAAGATTAAATAGTTCTCAATGCGGCCCTCACAGCAAAAAGTTTGCCCGCCCCTGGATTATTGGATGACTAAATATACAGGGAAATATATAGAATTATAAATGATTGAATGAATGAATGAATGAATGAATGAAAGAAAGAGAGAAAATGGATAAAAATCGGAAACAGAAACAAATACCTCGTTCTGCTTCTCCTCCTCTGAACGTCAGCCACGTTTATCGAGACGTAATCTGGTTTCTTTTTCTAAAAATTCAATAACTTGGCGATCACCATCGTCATCTTCATCATCATCAATACTATCACCATCATTATCATTATACAAATCATCATCATCGATATCATCATCGTCATCATTATCATCATACTAATAGTGGTAGTAGTAGTAGCAGTAGTAGTAGTAGTAGTAAAAAAAGAAGAAGAAGAAGTAGGAATTGTAGCAATAGTTATAAAAGTTATAGTGGTAGTAGAAGACGTAGTAGTTGTAGTAGTAATAGTAGTAGTTTTAGTAGCAGTAGTAGTTGTAGTGGTAATAGTAGTAGTAGTGGTAATAGCAGAACTAGTAGCCATAGTAGCAGCAGTAGTTACCTCCTTATCATCGTTTTCTGCAAAGGGACGATCCTCTTGCTCTCTCCTAATTTCCTCTGGCAACAAGTGGTCAAGCCAGTAAAGATCGCTCTGTGTGAAGACGTAGTCCAGCAATTTGCGGGCTGCCATGAGGGCTATCAGCTATGGGATGTGGGGATTTTGTGGTGATTTTTGTGGTGTTTTTTGTTGTGGTCTTTGTGGTGTTTTTGTTGTTAGTTTTGATGATGTTATACTGGTTTAAGCCATGGCTATTTATAAATGCTCCTCGTTGATTACTTGTGGACTGTTAAATTTGGTTTTGAGTGAGGTGTTGTTTGGTTTTATGGTGTTTATGTTGATTTTGGTGATATTTTGATCGTTCTCTTTTAATGCTGTAGCAGTCGCCATTTAGTAGCTTCATAGCCATCTTCATCGATTTCACCCTTAATTAACTAACTAATTAATAAATTAACTGACAGTAATTTTCAACTATTAATAATAATAATTCTCAAAAAAAAACCAATCACCGACTAAATAAACATCGAAACCAACATGGCCACCACCAAACAAACGAAAAAAAAATCCCCAATCGACCAACCATAAGTGGGAAGGCAATGGCGATAGAGTGGATCTGCTTGACCGCCCACATGCCAGCGAAGCAGGTCAGCTGGAAGATAGTGAAAATGTGCACTCGTCTCGTCTTTACGTGGCGAAGGAAGACGTAATCCGGTTGGTGCTTAACTGGCATGAAGAGGATGGCGATTCTTTGGATGAACTGTTGGTGGTTGTGTCGTTGCGTGTTGTAGTCGGCGAATGTAGTGGTTCGATTTCATGTCTTTTTTGTCAGTAGTAGTATTTTTCCATCGGCGGCTAAATCGGCCCCTTAAATATTTTTCTCCACCGTCGTCGTCATCGTCGCCATTGTAAATCTCATTGTCATCATCACCTTCATCATTATCATAAACATCGTCATTATCATCATCATCATAAACATTGTCATCATCACCTTCATCGCCATCACCACTTCAAACCTGGACACCGTTCAGTGAAGTGATCCCCATGTAGAAGAAGACCCCATAGAGAACTGGCATCGGAATCAGCTAATTATAGTTTTATAATTTATGGGCCTAAAATCCAGCCATGAATATTCATAACAATGAATATATAATTAACATATGTCCGTAATCATTTGAATAAATTATTCAAAGGATGATTGTTAGCTTACAATGCGCGTTAATGAAGTGAGGTGTGGTGATGTATTGTAATGTTAAGCGGCATTCTAGTAATAAATTATGTTAATGAGGTTTAGGTTGCGGTAAATAAGGCTAAAATTGTAATATGTAATAGCTAACTACTATGCGATTGTTATTATAATTAAACAAGCCAGTGACACAGATGTACTAACAAATTAGACACGCCTCATTTAATTCCAGTGAAAATAAAATCAAATCAACTCGCCAAACAGATTATATCTGCGCTAATTTATGCTAATTAATTGCGGTACAAAGTAAAAAATTACATATAAATATCGGGTCAGTGATTATATGAATAAATTATGTTAATTAGCTACCCGTAAAACGACGGTGAGTAGTGTGGACAGACCAATCAGAAGATGGATCATGAAGCCCGTCACCCTTTGCTCCCTTTTGGCGGGAAAAGTAAAAAAAATTATAAAAATTAACTATCCCTCATCCAGTAGTGATAATAACTGTTATATAAAGTTAAATAAATTAAATATTAATAAATAATTTAATAATTGTCAACATAGCTTTGCTAAAAAATTTGTAAAAAAAAGTTTCAAAAAATGCAAAAACTAACTTACACACCACTTATCAAAAACTCACCTAACTCCAATGATCTGCGGTCTTTCGCCTGGAATCGAAACCTCGGACGTAACCATTAAACTCTGGACGTGTGTTATCGACCTTACCGTTGCGGCTACGAACCAAGGCAGACCGCACAGAGAGCATATGAAGATAAGGAAGCACAGTACAAATAAGTCTAAGTGGTAGCCGTGCCCTTTCTGGGTTTTTTTTAATTTTTATTTAAAACATTTAAATGGATATTTTGAAATAACGATTTTCATATGTTTAATATATTTACTTATTATTACGCATAATTATTCCGATAAATAATTTACTAAGAGTTGTGAAATCTATTGAATTTAAAAAATGTATTCCTACTAATGTTATAAAAATTATACTCGGAGGACTATTTTTAATTTTTTCATTTCGAGTTGTTCTTTTTTTATTTTATTTTTTTTTATGAAGAACATTTAAAACTGACAGGAGGAGACGGTATAGTGGTTATAACGTCTGGTCAGACGCTACCGTGCTGTGACCGAGTTCAAAAGCGAGAAGCCACCCACCTCACATACACAATGTAGGGTACGATGCGTTGCTTCACGCTTATAAGCTGTATGTATATTCTTGAGAAAACCTCTGATAGATTTAATAGGAGAGAATGACCATTGAAAATTATCTAAAAATGTTAACTTTGAGTTTATGTTCTTTTCTATTGATGATGACCGCAGTGATTTGCTGGTCGAGAAAGATGAGGATGGTGGCTAGTAGCGCAGGTACCAGACCCAGAGGCACCAGCCACCAGTGGGTCACGGAGAGGGGGTTGATTATCCAATTTCTGAGATTTGTTGGTTGAATGATTGTTTGGTTGGTCGATTGGTTGATCTATTAGTTGGTTGGTTAGTTGACTGATTAATTAGTTATATGTTTTATTTGCTGACTGAATGACTGAAATTGTGTGCAATAAATAAATCAATGAATTCTATATGCAATCAACCAACTACCCAATATTTAACTACTAATCAATAACAACTCTCAATCACCTAGCCAATCAACCAACCAGCCAACCAATAAACCAGCTAACCAACCAAGCAGCTGACCAATTAACCAGCTAACCAATTAACCAGCTAACCAACAAACCTATCTTCTCTCGTGTTGACAAATTTGGCGGGAACATTCAACTTCGGGGTGTTGATGCCAAATGCAAAATCAATAACTGTGAAAGTGACCACAGCCAGCAGCACTGCAAAGTCTGCAAACGTTGACCTAACCTATATGGTTTACATTTTTTTGAGTTTTGAGTTTAATTTTAAAATTTCATTCATTATTTATGAAAAAATGTATAAAATTCAACGCTAGTAAAATTAATTACATCACAATCGTCATAATTTAAATCACCCCTTCATCGTCATCCACATCATCATTTCATCGTCATCCACATCACTTGTTTGAACTCTGACCTTAGCCGGGAAAAACCTCCCATGTCTCATGGTCCTGAACATCATGGCAAATGAAAAAGTGCCAATAAAGAGCAGTACCGACAGAAAGAAAACATCGGAAACCGAACCGGTAACGGATTTAACGAAACAGGCCGATCCCGAAACTTCCCAACCATTCCTGAGGCATTGCTTCTCGGATAAGCAGTCTCTATTCACTTCGATTAGGTCACCGGGTAGGAAACAGAATCTAGGAAGTGGGTGATGCTCAATTTGAGGTGGAGTAGAGTTGGTGTTGTTGGAAAAAAGGATGCTCGGAGCGGTGACGGAAATGGAAGAAATGCTGTGTAGGAGTGAATCGGGAACGCTGTAGGAATAGCCATCAGTGCTGTTGTAATGGTACGTAGCGTTGGTGGAATCTGTTTTTATGATTGGTACAAATAAGTTGACGATATTTTTTAATAAATGGTCTTATCAATGTGACGTAACAAAATCAATCTCATTTTAATCAGAAAACATCATCTCGATCGCCATTTATTATCAGTTTAGCTTTTAGAGTTATTTTTATAATCAACAAAATTGTCATACCATTCTTCCAAAGACCATCTCCAAGACCAGCCAAACTCCCAGATTGATTACAATAACAGCGAAAATCCCCAGGTTCTCTAACAGTCCCGACGTGAACGGGATTGTGATGGTAAATCTCAAATATCTTCGTAAAGGCCTCGTAAATAAATATGACGGATATTAAGATGGCGAAGCTTTCTTCAGTGAATCTGGTGATGTAGCGGACGAGGAAGCTGAGGTCAAAGGCCACGATGAAGAGGAGTACCAACATGACCCAAAAGCCTATCCAGAAGCGGAAGGACATAAAATCGTAGCGGTTCTCGCTAAAGATTGCAAAAAAAAATTCAATCCAAAAATGATTTTAGGAGCGTTTAAATAATTTTATTTAGTATTGCTGCTGCTACTGCTGTTGTTGCGGCTGTTGTGGCTACTAAGGTGTGGCTACTACTATGTTGTCTACATCTAGGTACTATCGATTCACCAATCACGGGCAGCACTTTTGCAAAATTTTCATTTCGTAATAATAAACCCATCAACACTCACACTCGCGTTGAACATTTTTACAAAATTGAATTATTTTCTTCTCACAAAAATTTTCATGACGAAGATTCTATCAAGCGTTTGTTTACATTCACAATTAAATTTGAAACAATCAAATTATTTTACTTCAACCAAAGTTTTTATAGCAAAAGTCTCTATCGTCCCCTCTTATTAATTTCCACAGATATCAGTAACAACGAGTGCACAGCGTAAGTTAATACGTGTGAATGAACGCATAACAAACATTGCGTGGGATAAGCGGAAATCTCCTTGCGTGGGATAAGCGGAAATCTCCTTGCGTGGGATAAGCGGCTGCTACAAGCATCTTAATCAACCAATACCCAACCTCACTTCTACCATTACACCATTATATTTCTAAAAAAAAACAACCCACCGGCAGAGGTGGTAGAGTATAGATTCAAAGATGAGGAGAGGCCCAGTGGCTCCAACAATGGTCAGCGGCTGACCGGAAAATAGCGCGTACAACGTGCCGCACACGGCTCCCGATAACAGCGTTTCCATTGTTCCCTGGTGGTTAAGAAACATTTTCTAAAAAATTTTTCCGGCACGTTTAAAAAATTTGGTTGTGTATTACTACTACTGCTACTAGACTACTACTAATAATATTATTATTATTATTATTACAGCTGCTGCTGCTGCTGCTACTTCTACTGCTACTCTAGTAATAAAAATAATAAACTTGATCAAAATTGATATCAAAAGTTTTTAAGAATTTTCCAACAAATTTCACCAAAAAGTTTCCTCACCATATATCCGTCAGTTTTTTGCCCCATGAGGCCACCAAAGGTGACGATCGGGGTGATGCAGGCAAAGAAGAGAAAAATTGTTGACGCAATTGACTGCAGCGCAAGGGCGTCAGTTATGTCGGAAAGGTAGAACTTGTAGCGATTCTTTATATCTTGGATCAGACCTCCGCAGATTCTGTGGTTGGTTGTTTGGTTGGTTGGTTGGTTGGTTGACTGGCTGTTTGGTTTGTGGGTTGAATGGTTGATTGGTTGGTTTGTTTGCTGGTTGGCTGGTTGATTGATTGTTTTGGTTGTTGGTTGGATGATTAGTTGGTTGGTTGGTTGGTTTGTTGGTTTGTTTGTTTGTTGGTTGGCTGGTTGATTGATTGTTTTGGTTGTTGGTTGGATGGATAGATAGATAGTTGATAGGTTGTTTTCTAATTAGTTTGTCGATTGACGAATCAATCATTATATTAATTCACCGATAAGTTTATTCACAACACAAATCGTGTTGTATTTCTTTTTAAAACACTGGCATATTTTTTTTTGATTTTCAAAATTTGATTGTCAAAAATTAATTAATCATAACTGCTTAACACGAAACGAAAGAAGACCAGCCAATCAAGAAACGCACTTCCCGGTCCTTTCCAGAGACTTATCATCCGTGGCCCCCTCCTCCTGTTGGGGTGCCAGGGGACCAGTGGGCATTCGTTTCTGTACATCCAATCGGCTCTGTATTCTATCCTGATTGGTTGATCGGTTGGTTGGTTGGCGGGATTTTGTTAGATTTTGATTGGCGGTTGAGGGGTTCGTTCGTTGGCAATTTTTTAATTTTTAATTTTCAAATGAATGATTAATTGTAAGAATGAATATTTGAATGGATTAGTGAACAAATGAATGAACGAATGAATGAATGAACAAATGAACAAATGAATGAATAAACAGTTGCAAAATTATTTAGTTTTTTTTTACCATGGAAACAGTTTGCTTCGGCGGTTCAAGTCTTGTTGATGGTTCCCAGATACTTGGCGGAAGTACGGTGACGTCATCAATGAACTCATCGATGCCATTCACCAGGTCTTCTCTCGTCTTGGCGAGGTAGGCAACCTCTATGAACACCTGGTTGGTTGGTAGATTGGATGGTTGGTTGGCTGGTTGGTTGGTTGTTTGGCTGGTTGGTTGGTTGGCTGGATGGTTGGTTGGTTATTTGGCTGGTTGGTTGGTTGGCTGGTTGGTTGATTGGTTGGTTGATTGGTTGGTTGGTTGGTTGGTTGATTGGTTGATTGGTTGGTTGGTTGGTTGGTTGGTTAGTTGGTTGGTTGGTTCATCATCATCTTTATTTTCATTGTCATCAGAATCATCATTATTTCTACAATCATCACTACCACCATTTCCATCATCATTCTCATCATCATCCTCATCTGCAAACCTTGTCGCACAACAACGTGCCCATAGTCCTGCCAATCTCCTGAAACTCCCAAATATTCGATTCCTTGGTGGACCCGAGCAAGATGAAAACAAATTTTGTAGGCACGGCGACTTCTACGAGGTCGGCCATAATGGAGGATTTCCGCATCCGACAGAATATGGCCAGGGGATTGGTCAAGTAGTCCACTTGCCCGATTAGGATACTGGCGGATTCGCATCCTTCCGGTAATTTCTTCTTGAGGTGCTTGTTTGGCTGTAGGGGTTTTTATCATAATCGCCATCACAATCCTTAACATCATCATCATTGCCATCATTATCATCGTCGTCGTCGTCGTCATCACCGCCACCAAAGACAATGGATAGTTTTATAATTTCACAGTAGATCACCCGATTTACGTCGAATTTTACCAGTCCATGGAAATTAAGCGCTAGAGAAATCGTGGTGGGAAATAATTGGTGATGATGATCATGATGTTATTCATGATGATGATGATGATGATAATGATGATGATGATGAAGACGACCGACGACAATGATGGCATTTTAAAAAAATCAAAATGGTCTGGCGGTATTTTTTGTAGAAAACTTTTCTGACTTATTTAGTTTATTTAACCTGTTCATACACACACACACACACACACACACACACACACCACTTAGACAGACCTACACGCACACAGACGCACACACAGTCGTTTGATGTTCATGTATTCAAATTAGGCACTTAATACTAGCAAGGTTCAAAAGGCCGCGTAAGAAAAAAAATATACAAATTTAAATATGGAATGAGCTGACATTTTGTTGTTAGATTATTCAGACAGAGGTGACATAGGCATGACGATGATGACGACGACGACGACGATGATGATAATAATGATAATTATGATGATGATGAAGATAATGATACTAATTATGATGATGATGAAGATGATGATTGTGAACATGATGATGGTGATGATGACGATGTTTTGCATTTTGTTTTGTTCATTTGTTAAAGTTTTTTAAGCCATTTTATTAATTTATTTATAAATTTAATTATTTCACTGTTCACTTGTCTTTCGTTCATTTGCTCGTTCGTTTATTCATCCATTCATCAATTCATTCGTTCTTTTATTCATGCATTTATGCATTCATTCATTTCTTTTGTTTAACTTTTGACTCTGGGGAATTTTAGGGCAGAATAGTAATTTTTATATACTTTCAATTGATTTAATACAGTTAGTTATTGATCATTCGATTTAATTACTTAACCAGTCAATTGATTCAATTAAAATCAGTTTACCAGTCAATTAATTCAATTAAAATCAGTTTATCAGACAATTAATTCAACTAGTTTAGTAAACAAGTCAATTAATCAGTCAATTAATTCAAATCAATAATAATTACTCAATGATCCGTGTGAATGTGTTTAACGCAAGATGACATCGTCGTAAATGTTCAGTCAAACGCATACTTTTTAACACATAAACAAGAGAGAGAGAGAGAGAGAGAGAGAGAGAGAGAGAGAGAGAGAGAGAGAGACAAACAGACAGAGAGAGAAAGAAAGAAAGAGAGAGAGAGACACAGAACGAGAGAGAAAGGAATGAACAGAAATAGAGAGTAAAAAAAAAAAAAGAAAGAAAAAAATTGAGACTTTACATAAGTAGGCTTAATAACAATTAGCCGAACGTAATCAATAAACTGGACTTACACACACGTCACATGCATGTGCACATATTTAAAAAATGCAATCACCCACACACACACACACACACACACACACACACACACACACACACACACACGTATAAACACACAAAGATAAACACACACACACATACACACACATACACGTATAAACACACAAAGATAAACACACACACACGTGTACAAGCACGCAAAAAAACAATCATACACACATTCACACAGAGATACACACACACGTATGTGAACACTGAGACACACTCACAAACAGAGAGAAAGAAAGAGAGAGAAAGAGAGAGAGAGAGAGAGAGAGCCAGGTAGATACCTTATAAGGTTCCAGATTATCAGGGGTGACCCCAGCGGGGTAGCTGTTGTAGACCATGGCAATGTCCCTGCCATCCCCACTTCTCCGGCGGAGGAAGGCCTTCTTCTTTTTTTCGGCGCTATCTTCCTCTGGTTTGGCTTTCATTCTTTTGAAGAGACTTTCCCCTATTTAGGGATTTATTCATTTCTCTAAATTGCTGTTCACAAATGTAAGATTACAAACACTTAAAAAAGTTGGATGGATATATTTTAAGGCCTGGCACCTCGAAACTGTTAAATCTTATTTTGTCTTTTGGGTTCAATTATTTGTTTTTTATCCGAACTTTGTTCGGACCTGAGACTTTGAAGTAAACTACTTTGGAATAACCAACTTCGAAATAAACAATTTTGAAATAACCAACTTTGAAATAACCAACTTCGAAATAGCCAACCTTCATTCGATATAAGCGACCTGCCCTTCCGATCAAATTGTTTGATGGTGGTTGATGAGGACTTGCCCGCGGACTTCCGGTGCTGATGCTTGTGGGGTAGTTTGATGGTGTCTCTGATAAGGATGGGGAGGTTGCTGCTGTGGAACTGTTCGTCCGCTTGTAAGGCCTCCATCAAAGCGTCTGATGAATCAGTCGGTCCGTCAGTTGGTTGGTCAGTTGGTTGGTCAGTTGGTTGGTCAGTTGGTTGGTCAGTTGGTCGGTCAGTTGGTCGGTCAGTTGGTCGGTTAGTTGGTCGGTCAGTTGGTCGGTCAGTTAGTTGGTCAGTTGAGTGAGTTTGTTAATTGGTTGGTTGATTATTTAATTAGCCGCTCTGACCGGTACTGACTGTACCGGTTGGCTGATTTTACGAATCGTTTAATAAAATTAATTTTAAAAAATTATTCCCAAAAAGGGAGTTAATAAAAACATTAGAATTATCGTAAGAAAAATAAATTATTTATGAATAAAACATGGCTTAAATTCAGAATTATAATAATAATTAAAAAAATATTTGCAAATAAAATCAAAAAATAAATAAAAATTAAACGAAAAAAATCCGACCGGCGATCTCAAACTCTCCCCCAGTTTTGGTTTCAGCGTCAAGGACGACGGTGCACATTTTGTTGGCCATCAACTTCCTGATCTCAACCAGGGAGTGCATCTGGGTGGTGGGTATGTGGGGCTTGGACCATCTGTCCCCTACCTCCACTGTCTCTTCGTATTTCATCCATCTGTGTGTGTGTGTGCGTGTGCGTGTATGTGCGTGTGGTGTAGTGCGTGTGCGTGCGTGTGTGTGTGTGTGTGTGTGTGTGGTGTCGTGTGTGTGTGTGTGTGTGCGTGTGCGTGCCTGTGTGTGTGTGTGTGGTGTCGTGTGTGTGCGTGTGCGCGCGTTGGTATATATTGCAAATTTTATAATACATATTTTTGTTTTATTCACTCTCTTCTCATTATCTTTTTTTCTCTTTCTCTTTTTCTTTTCATCTCTCTCTCTCTCTCTCTCTTTCTTTTTCTCTCTCTCCCACAATTTTATCACTTTCTCTCTCCAATGTTATCAACTGCATCACTTTTTCTAAAAATTTTATGAACACATCTCAACCAGCAAACAACATATCTCAGTAAACTAGCCCCCCCAGCAAAAAACAACCCCCATGATCCACCAGCCCTTAACAACCGCCGACCAATGAGTCCTCGACAGCCCCAACAAACCTGGCCATCTCCTTCCAGCCCTGCTTCCTTTCTGGAAATCTAACAAGGACGTCCATCTGGATGAAGAGGTTGTGCGCGTTCAACTCCGCGCTTGGGTCGCCAAAATCCGACAGCAATCTACGTACCTGGTTGTCGATGACGACGATGGTGATGACGGTAATGATGATGATGATGATGGTGATGGTGATGATGATGGTGATGATGATGGTGATGATGATGGTGGTGATGATGGTGATGATGATGGTGATGATGATGGTGATGATGATGGTGATGATGATGGTGGTAATGATGGTGATGATGATGGTGATGATGATGGTGATGATGATGGTGATGATGATGGTGATGATGATGATGAAACCGAAGTAACAATAGCAACAAAATTAAAGATGATTGACAGAATGACAATGATAATAAATTGCATTATCTTCACTAAACACTGATGTTTAACCACATATACCATGGCTATATCATCATTATGATATCATAGCGATATCATTATTATTATATTATATCCTTATTTAACCATAATATAATTATTATTATATTACTGTTAATAATATAATTATTATTATATTATTATTATTATTTATGTTATGAATGATGATTGTCGATAATTTGGAATTTTTGAGAATTCAGCATAATTTTAGACGATTTAATTATTGCTGCAATAAATAAAAGTTTAACTGACTAGATCATCATCATCATCGTCGTCGTCGTCATCCTCATCATTATCATCATCATCTTCTTCTTCATCACCATCATCCTCACCATCACCATCACCATTATCATCATCGTCGTCGTCATCATTATCATTATCATCATCATCTTCTTCTTCTTCTTCATCACCATCACCATCATCATCTTCTTCATCGTCACTATCGTCGACTTCTTTTTCTCCATCATCATCATTATCATCACCTTCTTAACAAAAATCATCATCAGTATGTCAATCACGACAATCCTTATCAATTATGGTTGTTATTATTATTGTTATAATTATTATTATCATCATCGTTTTTATTATCATTATTTTTTTATTATTATTATCGTCATCATCATCGTCGTCGTCGTCACGTCACAGCTGATAAGCCAGTAAATAAATAAACTTGAGATATTTGGTCATTGAAGAAGAATTTTTTGCATTACTCAATTGATACTCAGTTTGGTTCGAAAAATATATTATCATTATTTCTATTACTATTATAATTATTATATATAATAATTATTATTATAATTATATATATATATAGAGAGAGAGAGAGAGAAAGCAAGAGAAAGAGAGAGAGAGAAATTGAGACAACAACAACAGATAACTAAAAGGATAGATAAGATGGAGAGAGAGAGAGAGAAAGAAAGAGAGAGAGAGAAAGAAAGAAAGATTAAAAGAAAGAAATTGACAATTGATAATTGTTCCTAAAAAGAGAGAGAAAAAAATAGAAAGAGAAAGAGAGAGAGAGAGAGAAAGGGAAAGGAAAAGAAAGGGAGAGAGAGAGAGAAGATAATAAATAATTTTATTTTATCACTACGACCACTTGAAATTTATGATTTCGAGAAAATAAATAAATAA